GGGGGCTGCATCACCACAGGGATGGGAGAATGTCATCCAAAGGGGAATTTATCGGCCCAGGAATGGGGAAGAATCACCCCAGGAGGATTCATCACAGGACAGCGTCACCCCAGATTTGGGGGATTCATCACCCCAGGGATGGGGGGATCATTATCCCCAGGGGATTCATTATCCCGTGGATAGGAGGGCATCGCCTCAGGGGTAGGGGAACATCATCCCAAGGGGGATTCATCATCCCCGGGACCCCGCCGTCCTCCCCGCTGCTGACGGACGGCTCCAGGCGCGCATTCCCGGCGGGATTGCCCCCGGGCTCGGTCCCCAGGCATCCGCACCGCCCCGGGCTGGCAGCAGCTGTCGCAGGGAGGTCGCGGGGGAGGTCGCGACCCGGCAGCTGGGCGAGCCCCCCGAGCCGGGCCAGAGCTGATTTTAGCCGGCCAGAGCTATTCCCGGGGGTCTGACCCGGGTGAAGGGCGGGCGGCAGAGTGGCCGAGCCACACCCCGCTGCTGGCATGTCCCCRGAGGTGACACGGGAAGGGACACGGYGCTGATGCCCCCGTCCCACAGCCCGCATCTCGCATAAGGGACCAGCCCGCCTCTCCCGTGGGGATTTTGGGGTCCCTATCGATTGTGGGTCCCCCTTGGGAGCAGCCCCGGCGGGCTCTGGTGGCCCCAGCGTGGCTCCTGCTCGCCTGCCTTTGGCATCCGCAAGGGTTCATTTTGGGGAGGGGGGAGCCGGGGCTCTCCGCGTCCCTCCCGCTGTATTTTTAGTCCTTTCCTTATAAGGTTCCCATGGATTTTGGGAGCTGAGAGCGGAATGAAGTCATCGCTGAGGTCATCCCGCCTCGTCCCCCCTCCCTGTCCCGGCGCGGGCTCACCCCACAGGGAGTTTTTGTGTGGGATCCATTGAAACTCCCCTCGCCCAGCCCGGACGGAAACAAAACCCTTCCCTGGCTGGCGGGGGGCCAGGCTGCAGGGGGAGCAGGGGCTGTGAGGGGCTCCGGGTGGCTCTGGGATGCTCTGAGTGACTCCAGGGTCTCAAAAAGCTCCAGCCCAGACAATAAGGAGCTCCTCCAGGACCCCCTGCCCCCCTCGCACACTSCTGTGCCCCCCGGGTGTGAGCAGGGCGCTTCCATTTCTCTTGGCAGCCCCTGAAGGCAGCGAGGTTCCCAAAATCWGCATTTTGRTGGGGGTGGGACAGGGGGTGCTGCYCRTGGGGYCCYAAACKCCCTGGCTGRGTCTGTTGGATTTGGGGTCAGGGGAGATGTGCCCAGTGGGGTCTGAGCTGCAGCCCCAGCCAGGGTGATCATGGCACACTGGTCTCTCCCCAGGGTCATGTTTGGTCCCCTCAGGGTCACTTTTGGTCCTGTTGTAGTCACAGTGCTGAGGGATAGTCCTGGTCCCCCTGGGGACACTCTTGACATCTCCCATGAGGGATATCCTTGATCTCATTGGGAACAGGATCGGTCCCATCAGGGACACATTCAGTCCTGTTGGGGACACACTCAGTCCCACTGGGGACACACTTGATCTGTTGGGGACACACTAGATTTCACTGGGGACACACTTGATCCCTTTGGGACAAATGCAGTCCCTTTGGGGACACATCCAGTCCCATCAATGACACATTTAATCTTGTTGGGACACACTCAGTCCCTTTGAGGACACATCCAGTCCCATCAATGACACATTTAATCTTGTTGGGACACACTCGGTCCCTTTGGTGACACATCCGGTCCCATCAGTGACACATTTGATTCTATTGGGACACACTCAGTCCCTCTGGGGACACATTGTGCTGTTGGGGACACTTTTGGTGCCATCAGTGCCCCTCTTGATGCTGTTGGGACACACTCAGTCACACCAGGGACACTCAGTCCACTCTTGTCCCGTTACTTTACACTCCCTCGRGCACTCACCAGACCTGGACGAGCCTCACCGGGATTTTCTGGAGGATTCCAGAGGATTCCAGAGGCCCTGGCAGCCTCCCCCACCCCCGCCCGGCTGACTCCCAGACCTCAGCACTTCATCCCATCCTCCTCCTCCTCCTCCTCCTGGCGGGGAAGAAGGGGCTCCCGCTCCCCCCGCCATCTGTCCCCCCTCATCACTCTGTCAGCACCGGCTGGAATGTGGATTCATTTCGGCAGGAATGTCACCCCCCGCACGGCGAAGCCTCGCCCGCGCCATCTCCATCKCCATCTCCATCTCCTCCTCAACACCCTCCACCCCTCTCCTGGCCCGGGGACCCCCGATTTTGGGGACCCCTCGGTGGGGCTCGGCTGCTGGAGCTGATGCTGCCCAGGCACCCCGAGGTGCCTTGGGCCAGGGGCTGATTGAACGCAGACTCGACGCCTGATTAAACTCATCAGAGGGGGATTTTTTTTTTTTTTGTTACGGTGTTTGGATCCGTTGGAGTTTCACCTTAAAAGGAAACTGTCGCCTTCAGGGCAGGGGAGGGGGCCGGGGGCTTCGCAGGGAGAAAGGCAGATAAACGCTGGGCTCTTATCGGTCCCTGGCTCCGGGCATCYCTGTGGGGTTGGCACGGGAATGACCGAGCTAAATCCGGCGTGTGGGCAAGCGCCGGGGCCAGCCAGGCGGGCAGCACTCGAGGAGCGGTGCTGAACGCACCCGTGGGTGCGATGCTGGCTGTCCCCAGGGATGCCATGGCCACTCGAGTCACCGCGTCCCCTCGCCCGGGGTGACTCAGCCCTTTGCCCGGCATAAAGGAGCCCATTCTTCATCCGGAGRTTGATTTATGCGGCTCTTCCCGCGCCGTCCCCACGCCCGGCTGCACAACGGGGCGATTGAGCCCCTCCGGTTGCTCACAGCCCCCCCGAACCCCGGGATGATGGGGTCCCCGCCGCAGTGCCGGGGTTCCGGAGCTGCCGAGGCCGCGATCCGCGGGTTGTTCTGCGGGCACTCTGCCCACTGCCCGCAGGAAAAGCGGCCAGTGCTGCTGGCACGGGCATCGGGTGGGATGGGCTGGCATCGCGCCCCGCTCCTGCCGGCAGCCCAGGCGGAAGCTGGGGAAGTTCCTGGCCAGCAGCGAGCTCCGAGTGGCATCTGCGGGGCCCCGGGGATGGGGGAGCATCGCCTCGGGGGGCGGCATCATCCTGGGAATGGGAGCATCATCCTGGGAGCATTGTCCGGTGGGCTGCATCATCCTGGGGATGGGGGAGMATCGTCTTGGGGGCATTGCCCCGGGGGTCTGCATCACCCTGAGAACGGGGGAGAATCGTCCCGGGGGCATTGCCCGGTGGGCTGCATCGCCCTGGGGGTCTGCATCCGTCTTGAGATGGGGGAGCATCGTCCCGGAGGCATTGCCCTGGTGGGCTGCATTGTCCCGGGGGTCTGCATCACCCTGGGAAAGGGGGAGAATCGTCCTGGGGGCATTGCCCTGGTGGGCTGCATCACCCTGGGGATGGGGAATCATCGTCCTGCGGGCATTGTCTGGTGGTCTGCATCACCCTGGGAACGGGGGAGAATCGTCCCGGGGGCATTGCCCGGTGGGCTGCATCGCCCTGGGGGTCTGCATCCGTCTTGAGATGGGGGAGCATCGTCCCGGAGGCATTGCCCTGGTGGGCTGCATTGTCCCGGGGGTCTGCATCACCCTGGGAAATGGGGAGCATCATCCTGGGAGCATTGCCCCGGTGGGCTACATCACCCTGAAAAAACGGGGATTCATCATCCCGATGGGCTGCACCACCCTTGAGATGGGCAACCATCATCCCGGGGGCATTGCCCCGGTGGGCTACATCACCCTGAAGATGGGGAATCATCATCCCGGGGACATTGCCCCGGTGGGCTGCATCGCCCTGGGGTTCTGCATCACCTCAGGGGTGCTGCCACGTTGCTCCGGGGGTGTGCATTGCCCTGGAGATGGGGGAGCATCATCCCAGGGACCCCAGCCCGTGCTGATGGATGGCCACAAGTGCACTTTGATAGCCAAAAGCAGCCTGGAATCACAGCCCCCCCTGCCCCAGGCCATGCCCTTCCCACCTCCCCAGCCCTGCTGAGCTGCTGCCCCCTCCCCCCAGAGTGAGGAGAGCTGGGGCTCTGAGTRGGAGGATGAGGCTTTATTAAATTAATTGATCGAGGCAGCGGATACATCCAGCGTGGCTCAGCCCCCAGGGGTGGCCTGGGGACCCCAGGGTGATGTCACCCCAAGTGTGGTGGGGGTCCCCAGCCTCCAGCTGGGCTTCCTGGGGCAAATGCTGGGGGAGTGGAATGGGGAAGATTGCAGGGAGAGGGGGGGAAACACAGATTTTAAATTAAATACAGCCACGGCAACCCACCCAGAGGAGTTGGAAATGAAGCAGGGGGTCCYGGAGCAAGCATGCGGATTTGGGTGGGCTGCGGGGTGGAAAGAAACTTGGTGGTTCTTCACTCTGAAACGGGGTGCAAAAAATCCACACAAACATGTTATAAACCATGAGGAGATCGGGGAGAATGAGGGTGGTGGGTGGGACAAGTGGGGGTACAAAGGGGCTACCAGAGGGGTCCCCTCTCCTGCTGTCACTCGTCCCCTGAGGACCAGGGCTCCTGCTCAGCTCTGAGCCGACACGCTGGTGGCTGGTCAGACATGAGGCACAGGACATCCTCCCCCAGAGCAGAGGGCACGGGGCTSGGGTCAGCTCCACCGTGCTTCCCTCTCAGGGTGGCGTCCCCCAGCTTGGTGGCAATGCCATCCCCGGGGGTTGGGGACTGCGGTGGCATCTCCACCGAGGGGTCTGCGGTCTCCGTGGGCAGCTCCTGTGCCGGTGCCGTGCTGGCGATGCCGTTCAGCACCTCCTCGGTGAATTCAGCCAGGTCCTCCAGGCTGTTCTCCCGGTGCAGCCCGTTCTCAGCCCGGACTGGACATTTCATATCCAGCACTGCATCTCCGGCTGCCTCCTGCACTGTCGGCTCTTCCTCGCTGGATGAGGCAGCTGAGGATTCATCCCCTGCATCCTGGGAGAGCCCGGTCCTGCCAGGACCCTGCTGCCCACCCTCGGCTGCTCTCACCCCCATCAGCTCCTGGTTGAATTCCAGGGCCTGCTCAACGATTTCCAAAATATCCGAGTCTTTCATGAGGTCCRCTGGCACCTCTGCAGAGAGAACAGAAGTGTCGGGGATATCCTGAGTCACCTCTGGAAAAGCCCCCTGCTCCGGCACAGAGCCCAGCTGAGGGGATTTGGCTTCGGGGGGCTGCTCAATCCTGGCTGAAGGAGCTCTGTCACTGTCCAGTGCTTCCTCCTCCAAGGGCAGCTGCTCTTCCAGCGGCTGCTCCGCTCYGTCRGGCACTGCMWGGAGCTCTGCTGGAGAGGTGGCTTTGGCTGTGTCACAGAGAGCCATGCTGGGCTCATCCTCATCCTCATCCACCTCATCCTGCTCCACCAGCCCCAGGCTGCAGGGTCTGGCGTTGTTCTCCAGCTTTATGGGGTTGTGCAGCTCCTCATCTGACTCAGCAGCCAAAACTTCCAAATGCTCCGGTCCTTCCCATGCTCCGGTGGCACCCTGGGCTGGCTCCTCAGTACCTCCTGCTAATGGTCCCACGGCCCCCAGACCGCTGGAATTTGCTTCAGGCACAGCTGGGCCTTCCTCCAGCTCAGCAGTGTTGTCCTCATCCTCATCCTCATCCTCACCCTCACCCTTTGGCATTTTGGGTTCTTCTGTGGGCATCTCCATGTCTTCATCGGCTTCCCCAACGAACGCCTCAAGGTGCCCTTCGCCCTCTGGCACTGGAGATGCTTCTCCAGGAGCCCCCAGATCATCCTGGCTGCTTTCAGTTGCTTCAACTTTAATTTCTTCAAAGTCCTCGCAGATCTCGGTTTCCTCCGCGTTGGACATGTCTTGGCTGGGAGCAGAGACCATGAAGTAACCTTCCTCTTCCTCGSTACCTTCTGCCACCTCCAGTGCTGGCTCCTCTTTGGGGCTCTGTGTCACGGTGGGAGTGGGTGGTTTGTCMCTCTCTTCACCCTCCTGAGCTGTGTCTGTGGTGTCCTCAGTCTCAGGACATTGGCTGGGTGCACCCACAGCCAGCATCTCTCCCTCATAGAGGTGCAAAGGGGTGCTGTCAGGCAGGGTATCCTCCAGCTCCACCCTCCTGCCACTGCCCTGGCTGAGCTCTGGCTGTCCAGGGACCTCCTCCTGTGCCCACTCGCTGCTCTCCATGCTGTCACCTGGCACCTGCTGCAGCGCCGTGGGCTCTGAGCTGAGCCCATCATCATCATCATCATCATCATCATCCTCACCCTGCACCTCCCACAGCTCCTCCGGAGCCTGGGCCTGGCTGTGCCCTGCCCCGGGGGCTCCTGGAGAGGCTGGGGCTGGCTCTGCCTGCTGCTCGTTCCTTGCCAGCTCCGGTGCTGGCTCAGCCCCTGGCAGTGGCTGTTGCTGGCTCATCTCCTGCCTCTTGGCATCTTCTTCATCATCTTCCTGGGCTTCTTCCAGCTCTGCTGGCCATGCGCCATCTCTCTCCTGGCTTTCCAGTCTTTCTGTGCTGCTTGGGGTGTCATCTGCCCAGGATGGCTCTTCTATCCCTAAAGCCCTTTCTGTGTCCTCTGCTGTCACCTCCCAGTCCTCTGGRCAGGGCTCTTGGCCATTGTCACCATKCCCYRSWGYSCAGGGCTCCTCTCCTGGCTCYGGCTCCTCCTGTTCCTCCTGCAGGTCCTCAGGCTCCTCTGGGGCTCTGCTCTCCCACCCCGGGGTGTCACCTCCCTCAGCATCACCTGCTTCAAGATCCTCACCTGCCTCGGGATCCTCTCCTGCCCTGGGATCCTCTCCACCCTCGAGATCTTCTCCTGCCTCWAGATTTTCTCCAGCCTCGGGATCCTCTCCTGCCTCAGAGCCTTCTCCAGCCTCGAGATCCTCTCCTGCCTCAAGATTTTCTCCAGCCTCAAGATTTTCTCCAGCCTCGGGATCCTCTCCTGCCTCAGAGCCCTCTCCTGCCCTGGAATCCTCTCCTGCCTCAGGAACCTCTCCTGCCTCAAGATCCTCTCCTGCTTCAAGATCTTCTCCAGCCTTGAGATCCTCTCCTGCCCTGGGATCCTCTCCAGCCTCAGAGCCTTCTCCTGCCTTGGGATCCTCTCCTGCCCTGAGATTCTCTCCTGCCCAGAGATCTTCTCCTGGCCTGGAATCCTCTCCTGCTTCAAGATCCTCTCTTGCCCTGGGATCCTCTCCAATCTTGGGATCCTCTCCAGCCTCAGGATCCTCTCCTGCTTCAAGATCTTCCCCTGCCCTGGGATCCTCTCCTGCCTCAGGATCCTCTCCTGCCTCAGGATCCTCTCCTGCCTCAGGATCCTCTCCACCCTTGAGATCCTCACCTGCCTCAAGATTTTCTCCAGCCTCAAGATTTTCTCCAGCCTCAGGATCCTCTCCTGCTTCAAGATCTTCTCCTGCCCTGGGATCCTCTCCTGCCTCAGGATCCTCTCCTGCCTCAGAGCCTTCTCCTGCCCCATGATCTCCTGGCTTGGAGTCCTCTCCTTCTGTGTGATCCTCTCTTACCTCAGGGTCCTCTCCTGCCCCATGCTCCTCCCTTCCCAGCCCCTCCGTGGTGGCCTCTCCCTTTTCTCCCTCACCATCTTTCACACTGCCTGTGTCCTCCCCTCCCACAGCATCTTCTTCAGTTCCTGACGAACCCTCCTCTGCTGGGGTGGCCTCATGGGCACTGAAAGGCTCCTGCTCTGGGCACAGCTGCTGTCCTCTCTCCTCCTCTGCAGTMTCACACGTGGGCATTTTCTGCTGCTCAGACTTTTCCTGCTCTGCGTCAGTGAAATCCTCCTCCAGGTGACCTTTTGTGGGCAAAACCAGGTGGCTTTCCACAGGGAGAGCATAAGCAGCTTCCACTTCTCTTTGCAGACACTCCTCTTCTCCCTGGAAATCTCCATTCTCCTCACAGGGGCTGTGGGGTGCCCTCTCCTCCTCCTCCTCATCCTCTGAGGGGTGTGAAGGCTCTGTGCTTGAGGTCTCTGCCCTGTCCTCCTCTTGCTCTGGCTTTTCCCAGSYRGTCACTGCCTGTCCTGGGAGATCCCTGTCCTCTTCCTGGGCCTCCACTTGTGCATCCCTCGGGCTCTGCACAGCAGGTTCCTCCTCCTCCTCCTCCCAGGCTCCCAAATCCTCCCGGCTCCCTGCGGCACTCAAGGAAGTGGTCACGCCCAGTGGGGACGCGGTTCTGCCCAGTCCCTGGAGCACGGCTTCCCCGACCCTCTCCTCTGCTGCAGGGCTGTCTCCATCCTCAGAGCCCTCGGAGAGCTCTGGCTCTTCCCCGGGCCCCTCTGACACAGCCCCTCCACAAACCCCTGMGGGGAAAACGGGGCTGAGAGCATCCCAGGTGGCGCTGAGCGTGGGCTCCCCTTCGGGCTGACCATCATCTTCCATGGCCTTGAAGGCGTCCTCCAGCGCCTCGCTGACCAGCTGGGCCGGGTACTGCAGCCTGCGGCCGGGCGCTGCTGCCGG